AGAAACAAGTGGACCAAAAACTATTCCTTTGGCACTTTGCAGTTGATCTAAACATTAGTAATTGCTCTGATATTGTTTGTGGGTACACACAAAATTAATGAACTTCAAAGGCTGAGTACCACTTTGGTCCATCCAGACCTCACACCTGGCCTATCATCTCAGTGCTTTCCCACTGCAGGTTCCAAACTCTTGAGAAGGTAATGCCATCCTCTCAAGTGCTAACTTGCTTTGGTAAGTTAGCACTTGAGAGGATGTCTCCCAGGACATTGCCACAGGCCTAAACTTAATCTCTGACTGACTTCAGGGGTCCATGTGCACTGAACTCACAGGCATCATCATTTCTATGGGAAAACATGGTTTATATAACACCTTCCCTCTGGAATAACACTCTTTGTCAATAAAAAGTGAGCTGCACCCTCTCCTTTCCCCACATGGCTGTGCCGTAATAGAATTGAGAGAATGGTTTCAGAGCAGACCCAAGTGAGCTGTCAAGGTCAGGATTAGGGTACTAATACCATGATGGCTAGGTTTCTTCCCCAAGCAGCAGACTGCCTCCAGGAGAGGGCGCAGTACTATATTGGGTTGGTGGTTTATCCCAAGTATTGAGGCAAGGTTGGCAAATACCAGAGGATAAAACCTGGGATCATCCTAAAATCTAATTCTAGCCTCTCATTAGGAAAGCAAATTGCATTCTTTCTTCAGCCTCTCTTGGAAAGTTGATCTCCCTGCTTTTCTTCTCCTCTGTTCCATGCCATCAATTTCACACTAACAGTCCTTTGCCATCCTGGGTCCAGCCAGCCTCGTACTTGCTAAGGCAGAGGAATTGCTCTGGTTTTCCTTCTTAACTGCATTGCAGACCCTTGCCTCTGTGAATCTACCACACATATCCATTCTTCTCTCACTTGCTCAAATTATAGTGCTTATTTTCCAGTAAGCTCTCCAGTCCTGCTTGGAAGCCCCAGTAGTCCTCTCTCTGCTAAAAGCCTTCTCCCTCCTGGCTCCCCTCCTCCCTGCCTAGGCCTAGAACGGCTTTGTAGTCAGGGAGGATTTTATCATCTTCTAAGTAATAGTGCCTTCCTTCACCCTGACAGAGAACCAGGGATAGGTGGCAAAGACTCTAGGAAGTTTACCTTCTTGGTAAGAATCAAGGCTTCCCAGGTAGAGATGTTCTGTCCAAGCCCCTCAGCTTATACACCACTACCAGCAGAAGCACCTGAACTTTCTCTCTAGCTCACCACAAGAAACAGTAATCTATTCCTAGAATAAGACAGTGCCTTGGGCCAGCTGTAAGGATCAGAGCTCAAGGCAGAATTTTGCTAGGAAGGAAATTATAACCATCTTTCCCACGGCATTTGAGTTATAGATGACAATGTCCCCAACTTCTAGATAATTGTCCTTCCTCTCTGAAATAGAGTGGGCATGTTCTCTTTTTGGTTGACAAGTTTCAAGAATAGAGGAGGTAGCCAGGCGTGGTGGTGCACACCTGTAATCCCAGCAACTCAGGAGGCTGAGACAGTAGGATCGCCAAGTTCAAGGCCAGCCTCAGCAACTCAGAGGGACTCTGTCTCAAGCTTAAAAGGACTGAGGGATATAGCTCAGCGGTAAAAGAATCCCTGGGTTAAAAACCCCATACCAAGGGGAGAAAAGAAAGAATAGAGGCAGCAATGGAAGTGGTTTCTTGGTCTGTATCATCAAATAACTGCCAACTGTATATGCCAGGCATTGTGCTGATTGTGAGATAGATGTAGCTAAAGTTTCAATTCTTAATACCTGTGAAGCAGTAAGGTAGATACTAATATTGTCTCCACTTTGCAGATGAATAAATTATTTGCCCAAAGTCAGCTAGTAAGTAATAGTACTGGGATCCTACCCAAGAAGACTGACTCCAGAGTCTGTGCTTGTAAGCACTGTGATACATTGCTTTGTGTGAGAATATTTTTAAAGTATATATAAACACATACACACACATACATGCATATAACTGATGTATTTCCTGAGGTCCTTAGTCCCACTCCAAAAAGTAATTTACTTCATTTCAATATAAAGCAAAGATGAAACAATATGAATCCACTGTCCAAACCATTCTTCCCCTGCAGGGGAAAGGGTGCTTTCTGAATGGATGGAGACCAATAGAGTTGCTTTAAGCCAAAAGCTGCCTTGCAGTTTAGCTGAGGCAGGATTTAGAAATGGCATGAACAGTGCCTGCATTAGCTGATGGCATGGAGTGCTGAATGCCAGCAGAGGAGATAAAAATCAGACATATGTTTAGATATAAATGTTCTCCCCCCCCCCTTCTTTCTTCTCTAATTTCAGGCTCTTGCTGCTTTGTTCCACTGAAATGGGGGAGCCTTAATTATGGGCTTTGGTACCCTGCTATAGAAGCGGGGAGTGAGTAGGACCCACTTAGTCCTCTCCCATTCTCTAGTCATCACCACCAAAGGAAGCCAGAGGCCATGGACTTTGGCTTTCTTCCCTGCCAACAATGGGAATTGTCTTGCAGGAACTTTTTGCACATCGCTCCACCCAGCACCCAGCAAGTTGCTGGCCTCAATACATGTTAAATAGCCACCATAAAGCTAATGTCTCTAGGCCTTAGAAACTAGCCTGTCTACCTTCATTGATAATAGGATGCAGCATTACACTGAAGGATGATAAGAAACCCTGTAGCAGATTATGGAAGTGGCGACTACAGTATGGCTTTTAAAGAGCTAAGGTTGGGTAGATACAGTGGAGGGAAGAATTAAGGACCCCTCCCCCACCCCAGGTATCCTCATTGTTAAGCCAAATAAACAGAAACCACTCCACTATGGAGAGTTTCTCTGGGAGGTGCTTTAAGACCTCTGTCAATCCTCTTCAAAACAGTCCAGCCTAAGGTTGGGAGGAGGCCAAGCCATCTTCCTCCATATAAACACACCGTCTTACCTACTTTCACTCGTTCTCCTACAGCTGTCAACCACTGTGGAATTCTGCAGTTTCTATCTGCCATCAGGCCTAAGAATCAGAAAGCTGTTATATGTGACCCTGAGAATCCAGCCATTTAAGTGAGGCCTTGCATGTTAGTAGGGCTGGTTGTGGACATCTTTTAGTGTAAGAAGAGATCATGGAAGCATTTGTAGGGGGTCCCATTGTAACTGCATATTAGCAAGGAGAGAAATACGTTATTGATAGCCAATAAGAGCAGAGTGAGAAATTCATTTGACTTGAGTCATGAGACCTGGGTTTTAGTCCCACCTCTTCACTAACTAGCAGTGTGACCTTGGCTGTGTCTTTCCGTCTCTCTGGGGCTCAGTTTCCTTGACCATAAAATGCAAAGGAATTAAGACTAAATGATTTCTCACAGCCTTAAAAAAATTCTATAATGAAAATTCTGTAACTCCATATAATAAGCTGCAGAGTCTTTACCTCTAACGTGTTGCTATAACTACCCCCATGAAGAGCTACCAACCCACGTTCCATTCCCAGGTAACCAACCTTAGAGCTTGGCCAGGCCTGAGGATGAGTCACTAACACAGCCTTAAAGACTGTACTTGCAGTGCTCGTGGGGCTCCTCTCTGAAAAGCTATCCCAAGTGCCTGCTGTAGAGGATATACCCAGCCTATGGCAGAGGAAGGTTACTGCTCCAAATGCTGAAACAATGCCAGAGCACAGGGCAGACCCATTGGGGAAAGGAACTCCCCCTGCAGCGCCAAGGATACTTATGCCTCCAAACCATATCCTCATTCTCCCCTAGTCCTGAGGTTCCTTCTGGAAATCACTTCTCCCTTTGATTCCAAGACCTGGATATGCTCACCCCTGGATATGTTCCTAGGACTATTCCCAGGACTGTTTTAGGCCCCTTTCTCTACCTCCACCTTCCAACCTTTCTGGCCACAGACCCTTTGTCATTACATTTATTTACTGCACAGCATAATTCTCTGCCCCCAAAAAAACAGGTGCTTGAAATTGGCTCCCCATCCTCTATTTTTGTAGCAGCAACTACCTCCACAGTTGCCTTGGAATGTATACCCAGGAAACTGTTCTAAACAATCTAAGTTGTGTCATGTGCCAGTAAGAAAGGAAGTAATTTGCTTTATCATCTGGTCCTAGCTGAGTCCCACCCTTCGATCTGCTGCAGTTCTCTCTTTCTCTCTTTATTGGGGGTAGAGTGGTAAAGGAAAGTCTAAGGGAATCAATCTTTGGTGCCTAAGAACATGTGTGCCCATGGACATAAGCTGCCACAAACACTGAAACACATTTCCCAGAAATGATATGTGTACCCAGGAGGATTAAGAATTGACCCTTTCTTAGCCAATTGCTGCAAAGTACTGCCTGCCTCTTTCCCTCCTCTGTGCCAGAGAGATCACACCCACTCAGTCCCCATTCCCTGCAGTAGTATAAATACTAGCGCTAAAGAAATGAAGGGTCCCAGTTCACCCAGCCTCCTTGGATGCCATTACTCTATGAGCCTCAAGAGAATCCTCCACTGAGACATTTGACTGTTTAGCATCCAAGAGAACAGAAGCAACATTGCTTGGGGAAATTGTAGCCAAACTACATTACCGCAACCCTCTTAAATCCAGGCGCCCTGGGTCCTTGGGTAGGAGCTGGTGCTGTCTGACCAGCAGCTTCTGCTGAGGTGGCACTTAACTTCTGGCCAGGTCCCAGGAACTGAGGCTGACCCATTTCCCCTCCTTTTCCAGGGCATGAGGAATTTGGTTGTACCCCCAACAAAGCCAGGGACTAACACACTTAGCTCATGGAAGATGCACTAGAATCGGGGTGCGTTTATTTAAACTAAGGAAAGGTAGTTGACAGCTGTAGCATTTTCCCATACTTTATAAAAATTAACATTTGTCTTCCCCTGCACCCATAGTACCTCTTTCCCTCCCTCCTCCACCCCCCATTTTTTTTTTTTTTTGTTTTTTTTTTTGTTTTTCTTTAAATAGAAATGACTTGGTGGATGCTCTTAAGAATCTCTAGGTTCAGGATCTTACTCAATTTAACCCTTTGGGGACATTGAATTAAAAATTGAACAATATTTATTAAAATACAAAAATACACTTTTCTCACATTACAATCAGTGTTCTTTTGTTGGCATTCCCCCCAGCCCATACCACCCCTTTTCAAATCTGAACCCTTTATTCCCTCTTAAAGCTAAAATAATAATTGAAAGAAGTTACATCATTTAATGGACCAGAATAACAGAGATCTTTGCCTTCCTCCCAACCCATTGTCTTACACTTCTTATGGAGGTAGGTCTGGGAGAGGGAAGCTTCCCCCCATGGTGCCCCATTCAACAGGACTCCATGCAGAACTCACTCAGATGCATGTGTGTCATTTGAACTCTGGATTTCACTTTTTTTTTTTTTTTTTTTTTTTTTTTGTGTTGAAGCCTGTTTGTTGAGGGAGCCTTTCTTTTAATTTAGCCTGTGCCCTTTTTGTCTCTTTTATTCTTCCCTACTCATGTTCTCCCCCCACCCCCATCACCACAACCAGTTGGCATTAGCTGTAATAATCCCTAATGAATCAGCATTTAGAATAGTCACCAAATCTCAAGCATGAGAAAAGCTTCCACTCCCCCAAGCTCCCCACTCCCAGCCTCTCCTCCCTTTCCACCTTAAAACAAACAAGACCTTTTTGGAAAATCATAAAATGCCATCATTGTCTACAATCATTTGTCAGATACCCGGAACAACAGGTGGACATGCTACAGTGCTAATTTATGGCCTCCTGTGAATCATTCTCTGGGCTGCTGCTCTCCTTCCTACCCTTCCCTGGTGCCGCACCCCCCTGGGGGGCCTCCTCCTTCTCCTGGGAAACCCTGAATAGACAAATGCCTTGCAGAGTGGGTTAAGCCCAACTGCAGGAATCTGGTGCAATGTGAAAGCATTTGACTGAGAGCTACGCCAGCTCCCTTCCTGCTCAGCTCCATCCTGAAGCACTCTGTCAGGCTAGGCACATGCGAGTCCCAGTGCACAAAACCAAAGGACTTGTGCACATGGACAAAGACTCAGCCACTTTAAGGTTTCATTTTTCGTGGTTTTCCTGTTTTAAATACATTTACAGATCTATCTTCCCATTGTCCTCTGAAGAAAATTATTGCCTCTCAACATTTTGGCACAAATGTATGAGTTTTGGTACAAATGTATGAGCTTTTTGGGCGGGGGGTGTTATTTGGGTTTTTGTTGTTGTTTTTAATAAGATAAATCTGCAGAGACAGCTTTCAGCTTAAGAAAGATGTCTGTAGAAATGGGTATTCCTGTATTCTATGAAGCATCTTCTTAAAAAGTGACAGATGCAGTCTATCCCTCCTACTCCTCAGCAGCCCTCACCCTCTTTAGGGGCATTTTTTGTTGTTGTTTCAGTTTTTTATCTTAGCAGTTTCCACCTCATACCAGAAATCCCTCCTGGTGGCATAGCAAGTTGACTTGTGGCTTATACCCCACAACATTCCCAAGATTTCCCTCCCTCCCCCTTTAAATAGAACTTACAAGTTAGAAAATAGTTTTGTTTTGATTTTTTTGTTTTTAAATTTTAATATAATCTGTTTTTTTAACCAGCCCATAGATTTAATATATAAGCATATACAAGAAAAAGTCTCTCCCCGCTCTGTACAAAAGTTGCTGTCTTTTTTTTGTGTGTGTGTATGTGTGTGCATTCTATTGCATTTTATAAGTTTTTGGGGGAGGGGGAGTCATATTTGAGTTTCCTGTACCTTGTCCTTGGTATGGGTCTGAATTATATAAGGTTCAGAAATAGTGGTCACTGTGGGGTGCAGAGAGTTCCCCAGGCTGTTTTCTGTCCAGTGGGCCCCATGTGCTGGTTTATAGGTGTTGTAGTTAATATGGTCATGAATTGTGGGCAGCACTACTGCCCCCTCACCTGATACACCGGATGGAGCTGTTGTTGCTGCCGAAGATGCTGCTGCTGGGATGTCTTCATCCACCTGGATAATCTCAACTGTCCGGGCGGCCGTGACTGTACTTCGCTGCTGGTGCCGCTTACGAAGTTTATAGAAGACAATCAACATGGCAGCAGCTAGCAGAGTCACTGCCACAAAGCAGCCAATGATGATCTTGGTGGTCTTCATGACTTCATCCAGGCTGGTCTGCATCTTGTCAGTGGTGTCTGTTGCGGGTACTGGCACCTGCTTGGGCACACGGGTGGTCTGAATGAGCACCGTGGTAGAGGTGGTATATGCCGGCTGGTAACCAGTGGACGTGGTAGGAACAGGCTTGTACTTTCGCGTTGTGTCCTCAGGTGAGATCTCTGTGGTCTCCACTGTTACTGTGGTGAAGAAACTATAGTTGGAGGTGTTGAGCTCGGCCGCACTCACATTGAGGTAGGCCGAGGCATTGGAGTTGCCTGCCACATTGGTCACCATGCATGTATATACCCCAGTGTCTGAGAGCAGCACATAGGAAAAGTTCAAGGTGCCATCATTGAGGACAGAGATCCGTGGGTGGCGGGAGGCATGGCTGAGCACTGTCCCATTGGGCAACAACCACTTCACAGAGGACATAGGGGGAGTCCGACACTTAAGTTCTGCCATTCGACTCTCAGAGATATTGAGGTCCCTTGGTGCATCCATGATAAAGGGGGCAGAGCACTGAAAGGAAGCCTGGTCCACCTCCACCAGGTAGCGGCCTCGCATGTGCATGGGAGCATGACAGCGGCCACAGCAGGTGGAATTGGTGGGTATATACTCCCGAAGCCACCAGGCAAGCCACAAAATGTCACAATCACAGTTCCAAGGATTGTGGTGTAGGTGCAACTCCACCAGGTACCTCAGTGGGGTGAAGAGGTCATGGGGCAAAGAAGAGAGGTTATTGTGGGCCAGGTTGAGTTCCACAAGTGAGGCCAGCCCATCAAAAGCATTCCGCTCAATCAAGCTGACCTGTGAGTTCATGACCCATAGCTTCTTGAGAGAACTTAGGCCATGGAAGGAGCCAGGCCTGATTTCGGGGAAGTGGTTCCCTGACATTTCCAGCTCCTCCAGCCCCACTAGGGGTGTGAGATTGGGCATATCTTTAATGTTGCACATGCCCAAGTTCAGATACTTGAGGTTGAACAGCCCCTCAAAAGCCCCCTCAGAGATATACTCCAACTTCTTGAGCTCCCCTAAGTCCAGGCGCATGAGGGAGGGCACTCTGTTGAAGGCGTAAGAGGGGATGCTCTCTATGGGGTTGTTGCGAAGCCAGAGCTCCCGCAGCTTGGACAGGTACTCAAAGGCTCCACTGGGGATGACCGTCAGCCAGTTGTCAAACAGCTCCAGGGTGTTCAGGCTGGCCAGGCCGTTGAAAGCGCCCACCTCGATCTGCCTGATGGAGTTCCTGCCCAGCTGCAGGACCTCAAGGTGGTGGAGGTGTCTGAAGGTGTCGGCCTGGATCATCTGGATGTTGTTTTCCATAAGGTTGAGGTACCGGGTGTTGGAGGGAATACCCTGGGGGACCTCCGAGAGGCCGCGGCGGGTGCACACCACCTTGCTGAACTGGTTACTGCACGAGCAGACAGAGGGGCAGTTCTGGGGCCCGGCTGAGGCGGCAGCAGCGATGGCTGCACACAGAATCCACACTTGCGCCGCGAGGTAGACGGGAAGCAGGACGGCATTCCAGGTGTGGTGCACAGTTACCTGCCACAAGAGCTTCATGGTGTGGCACGTTCATAATTCACCATCGCCTGGGATTTTGGCTCGGAAAGGAGAACCAGCCCTACCCCGGCTTAAGTGAGCTAGGAGCTCCTCTTTCCATCTGGAGAAGGAGGTGGGGAGGGGGCGATTAGAGAGACGGAGCAGATCGGCCGAAAAAAATTCTGCCAAACTACAGAGCGGCCCCTTATCCAAGCCCACCCTCAAGGCTAGCCCTCCGAAAGCTAAGACTTTCTCTCCCACATTGCAACCATCCCCACCCAAATCGCTCTCACCTACCTCGGAAGGAAGGCAGGAAAGAACTGTCGTGGTGTCCTCAAGATTTCTCCATGGGAGCCGGGCACCTCGTTCCCATTCTGACTTCTTAGTTTTTAATTAACAAAAGGGGGAAGTGGTGGGGGTGGGGAGGGCACAGGGGAGGGGAGGGAAGGGTGGGGGAGACAAAATGGCTTCTAGTAAATCCGGAGCCGGAGCTGGAGCCAGCGAAGCCGCGGAGTTGAGGCGCGCCAGGGAGAGTAGAGGCCCGGCGGGCTATGCAGGTGCATGCCCCCCCCCTCAGCCCGAGGAGCGGCGCCACCAGCGCTTCCTTGCTTTGTCCTTGGACCCCGGCACCGGCTAGCTCCAGCCACGGGGGAAGGCGCTTCATCGCCAAAGTGTGCCTCCCGCGCCCCCGGCCCACTCCCTGGGCCGCCGCTGGCGGAGGTGCGGGGGCGCCCCGAGCCACCCAGGCCGCGCTCGCTTTCTCTGCTGCGCTCCGCTCTCCCGCGTTGGCCGCTCCGGGCCGGCGGCAGCTGATTGCAGTCGTGAGCTCGCGGGGCTGCGAGAGTTAAGAGGAGGTGTTCGCGGAGCCTTCGCCCTCCCCAGACACACACCCCCTTTCTCCTCGCCTCTCTTCGGAAGGGTTAAAAAGACAAAAACTGGGCTTAGTTCTCCAGTCCACTGTTTGCTGGCTCGAGGAACGGTAATCCGTCCAGCTCCTGAGGTGCAGCGGCGTCGACACTGCGCCGGGACCGAGTCCGCGGGCCGAGGAGCGCGCGGCTGTCGCGCCCGCACCGCAGGCCCCTTCAGAGAGTCCGGGGGCGGGCGCGGGTCCGGCGGCGGCGGCCGCAGCCCCCGGTGGCGCGCAACCACCCGCCGCCGCCCTCCGCTGCCGGGCCCCCGGCGCGCCCCCGGCCCAGGTTTGGTGCGGAGAGGGCGAGTTCTCGGCTGGGGCTCCCGGCGCCTTCAGTGGCTACGCTGCCCGCGGACTGCTGCAGCGACCCGAGCGCTGTCGGCGGCGGCGTGAGCAGCGGGGGTCGCGGCTGCGGGAACCGCTCCGGAACCTGGGAACATGGTCCCCGCTGGCTAGCGGCGGCGGCGGCGGCGGCAGCAGCGGGGCTCCTGCGCTCGGCGCCCACGGTCTCCTCCTCGCGCCGGGCTCGCGGTGTTGCAGGCAGCAGCCACGCAGACTGCTCTCTCATCCTTTTGTCCTTCAGTCAGAACGTGAATGTACTGCTGACGCATACTGTTCTGGGGAGAAGATTAGCGTGATGCAGTGCTCTTCTGTATTAACACAGCTCCCCCTTCGCCGCCTGCCCTCGAGGGGTTAACGCCGGCGCCTTCCAGCGCCGCGCCGGCCCGCGCCGCGCAGCCCCGAAGCCCCGAAGCCCCGCCTCCGCTCGTCCGGCCGCCCGGCCGCCTGCCTTCCTTCCTTCCTTCCTTCCTCCCCTCCCCCCCTCCCCCCCCCCCCCCCCCCCCCCCCCCCCCCCCCCCCTGGAGCCCCCTCCCAGGCCGCTTCCTCCCCGCCCCCTCCGGACGAGGGGAGCGGGCCCGGCAAGCGAGCCGGAGTGAGCGTCAAGTAAGGGGCAGCGCGCAAGTCGCAGGCGTTCGCTGCTATTTTGGTCCGGTCGGGGCGAGCTGCTGGGTGGCCGCTGATAGGCTGGAACCGCCTGGGGCTGCAGCAGGAGACCGCACGGCCCCCGCACCCGGTCGCTCGGCACCCTCTGGCCCTAGGCTGGTGGGCTCAGGGGCCAGCGAGCCTAGGACGCGGCGGTCCGAGGCTGGGCTGCTGCAGTTGGCCGGCCTCCCGCCCGGCCCGCGTCATCCTCACCCCCGCGGAATGCTGACGGGGCGCCTCGCCGCGGGGCCCAGGCAGGCAGGCGACTCGGAGTTTGGAGCTGCATAGTGGTGGGGACTTGGGGGCGGGCGACCCGGGTTGGAGCCAGAAGACCGAAAGCCTGGGATTTGCCGCTGCACTGATGCCTGTCCTTCCTGCCCCCTCCCTCGCACACTCCCTCACCCGTCCTGGGCTCTAACTAGGGCTTTAAATGATAGTTTTCTTAATGAGGGCTGCGGGGGCGGGAATCAGTGGAAGGAAAGACCAAGAGCAAGGAGCTGGGGGAAAGACAACCTGGGAAGGATTAAGGTGAACTCTCAGCACCCACGGCGCAACCCACGGTTCATTCATGGAGCTGCGGCTTTGACTCTGTCGCCCCTTTTCTCCCCTGCGCGCAAAGAATGGGGGAGGCGTCTTACGCCTTCTGCCCGGTGAGCTTCTCAAGCCCCTCTTGTCTTCCTGGGACTCCCTGAGAAGAACTGCGTAGCAACCTGCGGTAGCCGTTTACTAAAAAGGGAATTCTGGCCACTGTATCTGCTGGGAGGAGAGCCTGGGGCATTCTACAGCCCGCCTCAGGAGAGAGACTAGGCCAGCCTTTTCTTAATTCACCAAACAGACCCCCTTTCTCGACTAAGTGGGGGTGGGGTCATCTAGCTAAGACCTAGGACCCAGGTCTAGTAGAATTTGGCATCAGTTTGGTTTCCCTTCCCTTCCAGCACTGCCTGCAGACACCTGGTTCGGCCCGGCCCCGCCCCCGGCCCCGCCCCCGCCCCCTCACTCTCACTGTGTGGTTATGTGGCAAGCTTGCTTTTTAAACCCTTACTGCCTCATGGGCTCTGGTTTAAGAACCAGGAGGTCCAGAATTTCTTAGCTTTCTGGATTCTGCCACACCTGTAGTCTCAGTGTTATCAGTTACCCAGTAACCTGAACTGCCTTAAATATGCCACAACATTCTTGAAGTCCTGGGAAGTTCCATTGTAGCAAATTGACGACCCCATTCTTTACTAAGACTTTTTTGTTTGCATTTGCAGTTAAATTAGCATTAACACTTAATATTTATTGAACCCTTCCTCTGTGTGTACCACTGTTGATCTTTGTATCAACTTTATTGTCCATTTTATGAATGGGTCAAATATATTGCCTAGGGTCACATAGTAAGCCAGGATTTCTGGCAGCCCTCAGATAGATGTCAAGGAACTTGGGTATGGGAGTGATTCTCAAGTATTTGCCCAGTGGTCTGAGAACTTGGGTTTCATCCATGTACTTCAGCAGTCATTTATTGGGATGTTTATCTACTATGTACTATCCTCCACACTAAAAACTTACATATCTGTTCTGATTTAGCCTTCATTTGCTCCAGTGAAGTAATTGGCACCATTGTCTTCATTTTACAGATAAGATTCTTAGTTTAGGCAAGCAGAAAACTTGCTCACAGTCCTGTTTCCTCAAAGTAAACAGAACCAGCCTTTCAAACTAGTGTTCAAATCTTGAGACCAGTGCTTTAATCACTAGCAAATATGTCCACTGCGTCCATTCTTCAGACTAAATGGTGGAGGCAAGGTCAGGAAACAACTATGAAAGTTCAGTGAAAGATGTATGAAAGAAATAAGTTGAAGGGTGTAAAAGGAGGGACTTTAACAACAAACCTTTAAACATGCTTCACTCATGATGACCAATTTAAAAAAAAATAAATGAGAGAAATGGAGGTTAGTCACACTGTGGTAACTAGGGTTTAGTTCCAACTGGGCACCTTAGTAGCACTTATGCATTCTTGACTAAAGCCCCATCTGCATATTCTCAGCTTCAAGCCAGACACTACCATCTTGTAGACCCAGGAAATGTGAACCTGGCCTGTCAAGGATCTGTGGAGGAGGTTCCTCTCCTTGCCAGAGCTGGCACAGAGCTAGTAGAGTGTTCTGGTACCAGAAGAGACCCTGGCCAGGGTCTGGATGGCACACTGGAGTTTGGCTGTCCCTCCTTCCTCAGGCAAAAGAGGGGCTCTGCCTGGGCTGTTTCCTGCCTGTGTAGGCAAACTCAGGCCCCATCTGTTCAGCTCCAGTCCCAGCAGATGAAAGCTGCTGCCCCCGCACTGTGAAGGTAGATGGAAGGGTGGGCTGATTTGGATCCAACCAGTGCTTAGTAATGAGCTTGTCTCACAGTAAATATTTGTGACTGCTGTTGATGAAAGTGAATATTCCCAAGTTCCATGGAACTCTACTTGGGGCCGCTTTGCCCTCTATAGGCCAGCTGGTCTTGCAAAAGCAGCTGAACTTATGAACCAGCACCTGAACCAGGCTAAAGAGGAACCAGTGGGGTCTTCGTAGCACACATCCCTTCTGACCTGAACATGGCCTGTAGCTTCTTATCTCGGTAAGTGAGTACCTTCTAACTGGCGCATGGCCCCTCATTGTTCCTTACTGCTTCCTTAATTTGACATGATACCACCAAGGAATAAGAAAGGACGAAGAAGGCTCAAGCCCAAAGAGGAAGAGAAGGAAGAATTGCTATGCTGAGAATGTTTTCACTTGCAGTTTCACACAGAGAGACTGCTGTGAGGAGACTGGAGGGAAAGGAAGAAGGAGGCCAGTGGAGGAAATTGGGCATGGCCTGTGCCAGCAGCTCAGTGCTGTGGAGTGGGCCCTGCACTAAGACTGGGATACCTGAGTTCTAGTCGATTATCTGCCACTGATTAGACCTGTGAGGTATCTCAAAATAGCTTTTATAAAATCAAGGAAATGGAATAGAAAGTGCCTTGCAGCTCTCATAGTCTATGATTTCCACCCCTTCTCAGACATGTAGCTCTGTGAAGGAGTTTGATCCTTTGGGACTGTAGCCAACTCTTGGAAATGGGCCACACAGTTGAGGAGAGAATGCTTCCTTCATAATCCAGAGATCCACAGGGCCAGAGCTGAGCACAGCAGACTATGTTTTCACAGCTACTAAAAAGGCTCATAGATCACAAAATGTTAACGCTAAAAGAGACCTTGGAGATTATCTGGTCTTAGCCTCTCATTTTACAGATGTCGTTAAGAAAGTTCAGAGAGGCACAGTGACTTACCTAAAGCCATGTGACTAATTAATATCAGAGTCTGTTCCTTCTGAGCTCAGTCTTCTGTCAAGATTTTGATATATGGCTAATTGGTAGTTTAAACCCATGACTTGAAGATATTTCCAGATGCCTGGCTTCTGTGATCTTGTATGCAAGTGCCATTATATTTTGCTGGATTGGGATAAAGATGGGTCTTCAATAGAGCTGATGCGCCATTCCATGTGACTTTGGACCCATAATAGGAAGCAGAAGAAATGGTCATCTAAAGGATTGACTGAAATTGGTCCTCTAAAGAGGACCCAGGATTGCCCAGGCTAGACCACTCCCCACCCTGATATGCATTACATCCCTGAAGCATTATTCTGAGCAGCCACTAGATGTCCATAATGCCTCATAGGGTTTGCCTGGAGTGGCAAGGTACCATCTTGCCTCCAGTAGGCTTTGGGGCCCTTAAAGGAGGTTTATCAGTGGCAACACAACAGAACAGAGCAACCACTAAAGGGATTTGAGAAACAGAAGGAAAGAAAATTCAGTATGGAAATTGCCCTTCAAAGAAGGAAGGGAAGATCCTGATTGGCGAATTAGTAATGACAAAACAGTAAGAAATGTCTGTGCAGAAGTAGTCACCTCCTTTTACTCAAAGCAGTGAACATATCCTG